GTTTGCTAGTATGGTTATCCAGCCCTAAGTAACAAAATTAAAGATTTCAAGATTTCTCTATTAGACACAGGTCATACTAATAAAAGGATTTTGCAAGATCAGATGATATTCAGATGATATTAAATTATTAAACTATATCTTAAGGGAAGGACAACTGTAATCCTAAAAATTAAATGTTGTGTTTACGTCCTGATAATTCTGGCAATGTGACAAATATCCTTAAAGATTTACATGCTCCGATAGAAGCCATGTCCTCAGCAACTTTATCATGGAAACGATATCTTAGCTTCTGGTTCTTGGCACTTTCTGATGAAAAACATTGTCTTTGACTTTGCCATCATACTCATTGGCATATTCCTGTACTATGGCATTTATTGCTACGTCAATATGGTTCCAGTACTAATGAATTCTTGTTTCTTTTATAGACTACCCATCACTCAAATGGCCCTCCAGCCTATCATGGACCACTCGATAGACCCGATTTTTTTTTAAAAAAAAGGGGACTCCAAACTGCTTGCCCCAACATCGCCCCTTTTTGTCAGCCTGAAGAAGCCAGAAAGATCTTCACCCCCTTTCCTTACAGCAGTAAGGAGTTCCCAAATTAGAGGGGGAAATGAAGCCAGATTTAAAGTTAGGTAGTTAGTATAGTTAGGTAAATCGGGTCTAATATTGAGTGAAATCTAAAATGGAGGGACACCCCAGGCCCACAGGGACTAACCCCATTTGAAATTCTGTACGGTGCACCACCACCCGCTATTAAAAACTGAAACCTATACCTCCCTCACCCCATCTATGCAGACTTATTTATGTGCCTTGCAATTGGTCCAGAACGAGGTCTGAAAGCCTCTAGCCGAAGCATACAAAGAGGAACTCAAAACCCCATCGCTGCCACATCCCTTCAAAGTTGGAGACACTGTCTAGGTACGCAGGCACCAGAGCAAGAACCTCGAACTGCGGTGAAAAGGACCCTACTCTGTTCTGCTGACCACTCCTACCACAATCAAGGTGGATGGCATCACCACTTGCATCCACGCTTCCCACGTGAAGGCTGCACATCCACAGGAGTCCGCAGACACCCCTCCGGATTCAGAATGGAAGTTGCAACGCACCCAGAATCCGCTAAAGATAAGACTCACTCGCTGTTGATTTTTCTTACCTTGTATTCTTTATTCCCCCTATTGAATGCAAGCCCCCATGTGACCACTACTGAGAGGTTAGCCAAGGGACAAAAAAAATTTGAAGCCCAGCAAGGGTGATTTGAAAGCTGGTTTAATAAGTCTCCTTGGTTAACTACTATACTATCCTCGATAGCTGGCCCCCTTTGATTGTGTTGCTGTTGATTTTAACATTTGGACCCTGCATATTTAACAGATTAATGCAGTTTATAAAGGAAAGGCTATCCGTAATCCAAACTGTGGTCCTCACGCAGCAATATCATTTACTCCAACAACATGCTGAGCCGTCAGCCGAGCTAGTACTGGAATCTGGGCGAGAAGATCAATGGATATAAGATTATATCCATGATATAGAAAAAGGGGGGAATGAAGGACTACAGGGCCCCAAACCCAACGTTAGGAATTCTAACCCCTGTGCCCTACAGGATGTTCCCATGTACAACCCCCATGTTAAAACCCCACAAGCTGCACGTAGCACTTCCCAGCTGCACGTAACACTCCAAGCTCTATACAATGCCACCACCAGATGTTCCATATAGATAATCCTGGGAAGGCCAAGCTTGAGCAAATAGAGTAAAAACAGGAACTAAAAGAATAGGATGCAATTTATGGGTTTCTTTTCTGAGAACATAAAGTGGAAAAAACAAGTTTACCCCCCAGGTGACCTAAGGGGCTGGACCTAGAGGAACTTAGATAAACCAATAGAATAACTGTTACTGTGCTAGGCTGAAACCTTGCCCCTTGCTTCCTATAAAAACTCTGTACCCCCGAGCCCGGGTGTGGCAGTCACCGAAGCTCCGGCTTAAGTTTTGCTGTGCACCCACGGGCGCCTGTGTGAGAATAAATCCTCCTGCTGTTTGCATCCAGTGTCTCGCGTGGTCCATTCCGGGGTGGGGGATCTGGGGGTCTCTCACCATAATAAGACAAAGCTAAGAAATGATTCTTCCACCAGAGAACTGAGATCACAGGGCAAACTACCACCCTGAAAACTGGACAGGTAAGAACAGAGAAGTCACTACTGGAACATTTAAAACCATAATTGGCTAATTGCTAGAGGCAGACCTTAAAAATTAAGAGTCAGAGTTAAAAATTCCTAGGCTCAGCTGTAGGGGCCCTTCACACTTTTGTTTTACCTCCAGAGCCCTACCAAATTCTCACAGAAGAGCAAAGAAAAATCCATTCCTGCCCTGGGCAGAGGCAGGGAAAGTAATCATTTTGTGCTGAACTCAGAGATAAGTAATCATTTCAAACATGTCTAGAACTTTCTATTCTCCTTAACAGACACTTGCCCGCTGGGAAAACAACTTTATCAGAGGCTAAGGTGACCTAGGGGGAAGGACAATTAGACTACTCAGCCTCCTCAGGACTTCCTGTCTCACACAGGAAGAGGAGGAAAAAAGGTTAAGACACTCTTTTGAAGGTCACAGCCCAGTGTGCAAGCCTACTAAAACACCTCTGAGATTGAATCATGAGTTTATGGAATACTTTCCACTCCAGAACTCTATCACTGAACTGGTAGGGAACAGTAGATTGCAGTTCAGAGTATTGAAAGACTCTATTTAAGAGTTTTCAGGGAAACTCAAAACAACAGGGAAATTAAAAAAAAAAAAAAAAAAAAAAAAAAAAAAACCTGAAGCCTATGTATGATACCTTCCACTAAAGGAGACATTAAACATAGCTAATGTCCTAGCCAGATACACATAAATTTTTTACTCTAAAACACTACTTACCTCAATTCTAATTATCTTATACATCATGTCCTACTTCCAATAAAAAAGTACAAGACGTGACAGAAGGCAAAAAACACAGTTTGAAGAGAGAGAGAAAAAAATCACAGAATAAAACCCAAGTATGGTAGAAATTTGGGAATCATAGTGTGAGGGTTTAAAAATGACTATACTAGCCTGACATAGTGGTGTACAACTGTAATTGCAGCAGTTTGGGAGGCTGAGGTAGAAGGATCACAAGTTCAAGGCCAGCCTCAGCAACTCAGTGAGCTCTTGTCTCAAAATTATAAATAAAAAAACAAACAAATAAATAAATGGGCTGGGGATGTGGCTCAGTAGTTAACCACTGCTAGGTTTAATCCCTGGTTAACCCTCCTCTCCTCCAAAGATGATACTTCATATACTAAAAACTCTACTGGAAAAATAGACAACCTGCAGGATCACATGTATAATGTAAGCAGAGAGATGAAAAGTCAAAGAATAAAAAGAGAACGCTCAAAATAAAAAGTGCTGTAACAAAAATAAACAATGCTTTTGACAGGTTCATCAACAGACTGGATACTATCAAGGGAGGAAACAGTGAAGCTGAAGGTATGTCAATAGAAACCTCTTAAACTGAAAAGTAAAGAAAGAAAGAATGAAAATTTAAAAAGGAAAAGAATACCCAAGTACAATAAGATAATTACAAAGGTGTAACATACATGCAGTGGGAATACCAGAAGGAAAGAAAGAAGAAAGAGGGCAGAATAAATATCAGAAGACTAATGGTTAAGAGTATTTCAAAATTAATGACAAACACCACATGTTCATGAAGCTCAGAGGAAACTGAGCAAGATAAGTACCAAGTCTACACTTAGGCATATCACATTCAAACTGCAAAAAATCAAAGATAACAAAAATAGTACTGAAAGAATCCAGGGAAAATATACCTCATCTATGAAGGGAGATGTTTAAGAATTACATGAGACTATGCAGCCAAGAAAAGAATAAAATATTTAAAATATTTGTAGGAAAGAACCCAACTAACCTAGAAATCTATATCCTGTCATCCTTCAAAAGCAAAGGAGAAATAAAAGTTTTCTTAGACAAAAATTGAAGGATTTTGCTGTAGTAGACCCACCTTACCATAAATGTTGAAAATAATTTCTTTATAGGGAAGGAATAAGTCAGAAATTCAGATCTACATAAAGAAAGAGTGCTAGAGAAAGAATAAGTAAAATATTTTATTTTTTCTTACTCTTAATTCATCTGTTTGTTCAAAATGATATCAATAATTTATCCAGAGATTATAATTTAGGGATAAATAAAATGAATGACATCGATGTTACAAGGGATAGGACAGAGGAAATGAGGATACATTATTAAAAGGGATATTCACTACCTATAAAGTGGTACAGTGTTATTTGAAGAAGATTTAGATTAGTTATAAATATGTTGCAAACATTAAGGCAACTACTACTTTTTTTTAACAAAAAGCATAATTTATATGCTGAGAGAAGAAATATTGAAATAATATAAATTGCTCAATTAAAATGAAAGGCAGAAAGAGGAAAAGACAACACGGAACACACACAATACATAAAAAAAAAACAGTAAAAAGTATGGTAGATATTAATTCAACTATGTGAATAACAACAGAATTCTTCAGATCAATCAAGAAGAGTCAAGAGTAGATAAATGACAATAGAAAACTATGTTGTCTACAAAAATTAACTTGCAATAGGATGGATAAAGATATGCCAGATAAAGCCAGGTGTGGTGATGCATTGTGTTAATCCCAACCTACTTGGGAGGCTGAGACAGGAGAATTGTGAGTTTGAGGCCAGCCTGGGCAACTCAACAAGATTCTGTCTCAGGAAAGAAAGGAAAAGAGAGAAAATAAACAAACAAACAAAAAACAAGCAAGTAAACAAGTAAGCTGGAGCACCTGTATTAATTTCAAACAAAACAAATATCAAAATAAAAAAAATATAAAATAACAAAGGGATCAGTTCCCTAAGAAAATAAAATTTTTGTGTACTTAACTGAGTGCAAAAATACATAAGGCAAAAAACAAATCATAGAACTGTAAGGAGAAATAGAGACGTACACTTTATAGTTGGAAAACTCAAAACTCCTTTATTGTCAACTGACAGATCAGTAAGGACATAGTCGAACTGAGCAACATCAAATAAATAAACTGGATCTAGTGATATTTATACAATACTCCTTTGAACAACAGCAGAATGTACAGTTTTCTAAGTTCACATGGAACACTCACCAAGATGGAACACAACTAGGCCATCTAAACAGTTGAAAATTTTTAAAAGAAATTATATGAAGTATGCTCCAAGACCACAACAAAATTAAATGAGAAACAACAGAAAGACAAGCTAGAACATCCCAAAGTATGTAGCAATGAAACAACATACTTCTAAATAACATATAGGTCAAAGAAGAAATATCAAGAGAAATTCAAAATATACTAAAATAAATAAAAATGAAAATACGATGTGTTAAAATTTGTAAAATGCAGTAAAAAAGTGCTTAGAGGACAATTTATAGCATGGACTGTATGAATTAGGAGACAAAAAGATCTAAAGTTAATAGTATCTAAGTTTCACCTTAGGAAACTAGAGATAGAAGACCAATATAAATCTAAAGCAAGCAGCTGGGTGTGGTGGTGCACACCTAGAATCCCAGTGATTTACGAGGCTGAGGAAGGAGCACCACAACTTTGAGGCAGCTTGATCAACTTCATAGGACTATGAATCTCAAGATAAAAATAAAAATAAAAAGAGGTGGATGTAGCTCAAAGTAGTAAAGTTCCCTGGGTTCAATCTGTAGTACTGCAAAATACAAACCAAAATCCCAAAGGAAGCAGATGAAAATAATAAAAATCAAATCATAAATCAATGACATTTAAAATATGAAGCCATGGCCTGGGGCTGTGGCTCAGTGACAGAGCACTTGCTTAGCATGTGTGAGGCACTGGGTTTGATCCTTAGCACCACATAAAAATGAAACAAATAAAATAAAGGCATGCTGCCCATCTACAACTACAAAAAAAAATGGAAAGAAGATTTTTTAAAAATAAAAATAAATAAAATATGAAGCCAATAGAGAAAATCAGCAAAACCAAAAGCTGGTTCCTTGAAGGAATCAACAAACCTTATAACCCCCTAGCTAGGCTAAACCAGGCGGGAGTGGGGGTGGGGAGAGAACAGTTATTAGTTACTCCATGGATATTAAGGGAAAATACATATTATGAACAACTCTATGTCAACAAATTTAGTCACTTAAATGAAGTGAACCAATATCTTTGAGACACAATCTACTAAAAAC